GTTTTCACTATCGTAATAATTAACGTCATAGTTGAAGAGGAAGCGTGTAACTCACAACAAAACGTGAGTGATCGACATCGTGACGTTCGAAGAAGTTCACTACATCGTTGTAGTTGGAAACCAGTGATGAATAGTATGAAGGAGGGAGGTCGGCGACCTGAACACCGTCAGATTTCGGGCTGAATATAGTTTTTACAGCTACTTCGTACCGTTGTGTTCCATCCTGTATGCTTCATCGAAATCGTGTGCAACACCGGCTAGTTGTTGAAGGAGATCTCGAACCACGTCGACCTATAGAAATACATCTTTAACTGATTGTAAGTACAGTTGGGCGAAAAAAGATAACATGGTGGCATCCTGTTTTTCATTTCGAAAACTTCGGTGCATTCACGGAGGCTCGGAGGGAAGGAATGCATGTGCGGCCTGGACGAAAATGTAGCCGAGATTCGATCTCGGGCCATGCGTTGAATATGTCCAGTGCCACAACACCTCCTGCGCTCTAAATTACCTTACTATGGGACTAGAAGTTTTATAAAAAAAAAAGCTCAAAACATGGAGCGCTTTGGGTCTCTGGAGCAACAATTACAGATAAAATTCGTGAGGTAAAGCAGTCGATAATGAATTGTGAGTGCGAGTTGACTGCATATTAAAAAGGAACATAGAAAACCGCCGATGGAGCTCTGAAAGTCCTCCTCTTCCCCCTTGAAATGCGGAAGGGTGGGGGTCGGACGAGCTGCCGAACTAGCTAGCTGGCTAGCTGCCCTAACTAACTAGCTTGTTTCGGTGGCGTTTATTGCTGGCTCGTGGCCGTAAGAAATGCGGTTGCAATCGCATAGCACTGTAAGCATAGCAGTCTTCGCAGTTCACTCAAAAACTGATGGGTGTGATTCACTCTTTTCAGGGCGGAGAGCAGTGACCACCAACACGGGGAAACGTCTGGCAGCAGCGGCCGAGGACCGCGACCTCTTCCGTTCTCGATACCTCATCTTTCCAAGGGCGACGCCCTCTGCACAAGCTGCATCAAGATCTGATCGTTCACTCCTCGCCTCCAGTGGTCTGTTTTGTGTTCACAGTATTTCTTGTAACTGGCTGTGTACTCTTGTACTTAGCTTTCTTTGTATGTGCCCAGTCCCAAATACTTTGGTTCTATTGATGTCTTAAGGATAAAACTTGTTAAACGAACTTTGAAGGCAGATGAATGATTTGGCAGCTTCCATTGCGCGCGCTCGCTTACTGCACCAACACAAACAGGGACACATGCACCAATTAACAAAGAAAACGATAATGAAACGATTCAAGTAAGTAAAACTAAACGAAAACCAGGTGGCATTCCTTGAAGTGAGGTACAGTCCACATGCTATCGCGGAAAGGTCACACCCACGGCTTCCTTTATAGATCATTTTGCACAAAAGTGAAGCGAGCTGTGGAATTCACAGGCTTTCTGTTCCTAACGAAGGAGGTGTTCTACAAGGTTTCAACTTGAATGGTTATATGTTTGTGGAGTTACCCAGAAACTGCACTCCTTCGTATGTAGTGCATTCATTCCTTTCATTTTGAACAGGCCCTTCCGAATCTCTTAACCCCTCTAAACTCACATCTCCATTGCGTGAAACGGAAATTTAAGAGCACGGTTCTGGTGAAACTCGCAAGGACGCGCCGTGCAAACGACATCCGGCGCTAGTCGGCATCCACTTCAGAATAGACTCCCACTGATCTGATCAGTACTTTTCTCCCTCTTGTGACCCTCCCCTTCCCGGCAGGACCTTGTCGACCGTACTCCCCCCCCCCTAACGCAGGCCTCACCCTGTCCCAACTGCCATACGTCGAAGTCACATATTATCAACTCACATGTTTGAACGAAAGGAGAAGTAGGCAAGAATATCGGCCGGGCATCGCTAGATTTCTGTGGTGGTGACCGTATAGTAAAACATCTTGGCAGCGGTTCCCCGCAAAAGAAATCTCCAGAAACGTCATGTTTTTGAAAATTGCCAACGCAAGAGTGCATGAACTCTTTGTTTGCTTTCCCCTGAATGGGCAAAGCATGGACATTTTTGGTGCCGCATGAATAGCTGGCGCTGCACTTAGTCGCT